GGGGGGGGGGGGGGGAGCGATGATGTTGGCCACGCATGACTTTGTCACTCGATCACCATGGGGGATGGGCATGGGGAAAAAAAAGGCACCATCCTATTGCTTGCGCTAGTTAGTCCATTGACCCATTGAGTTGAGCGTACGACCCGTTGGAGCCGGAACGCCGGGCGGTGCTCCTCCCGCTGGAGCTGCCTCCAACATGTTTTGGCCTTCGATATTTTCTTTCCGTGTCTCGTGAATATTTTGTAGTTATCTTGGAGCTCCCTCCCGCCTGCCGTCATCCACCTGCGGTGACCAATTCGGAAAGGGGGGCAGGGGCAGAGAGGTTTGACAGGAATGTTTCTTCCTTTGGTTTCCATGAGTCGAGAGTCGTCGTACTTTTTTTGTCGATTTGGTTCCCCCACGCCCTCGCTGTTGTCGACTCGTGTGTACGTCCCGTCCTCTACCTCTTGGAGGAAGAACCCCGCCCTCCCAAGACCTCGTTTTTCCTGGTAAACACGACTTTGATCCGGAGTCACAACCCCTACCCAGGTCTGCTTGCCTTCCACATACGTGGCTTGTGTTGTAGCGTGCGTGCCATGGAACCCTTGTCAATCGCAGAGTTTTGGTTTGTTCTATGAGGAGCCCTCTTCTTTCTTGGATAACACTCCACGGAGGTTTTTCGTTTACTTAGGGACTGACCTAAATAGACATGAGATCCATGTCATCGTAGAAGTCACGCGCCGCATCTCTCTCTCCTACACGATGCACGTGAATACGACGCTTCCTGGCAATCACGACATTGTCAACTGCCAACGTAGTTCTATGTCCTAGTATTTAGTTCCTCATTGCGGCGCCTCGAGTTCTCCGGAGACTTTCGTGTTTCTCGTTTAAAACAATATCTCTTGCGGGCGCGCCCGAATGACGCTCGCGCCTAGCCCTCTCCCCAACCTTGTCACGTTTCTTAACTCGCCGTCGGTGCATGTGTACCAACCACGTTTGGTTGTGAATGCGTCAGGTGCTGGTGGCCTTGAGGAACGAGATGGCCAGCCCGTCGAACCGCCGACTTCAGCAGCCGTCGGAGGGGACGGAGTTCTAGCGCGTGTCGTGTCGTGCAGTGCAGCAAAAGAGGGCGCTACTACACCGCGACTGGGGCGTCCCCCCCCCCCCCCCCCCCCCCCCCCCCCCCCCCCCCC